GCAGGTGAGGAGCAGCCCCGGCTGCTGGTTTCTGCACCCCGGTCCCAGAAGGGTGTCCGGCTGCCTGGGGCATTGTGCAAAGAGTATTTTGGGGCGGGTGCATTTTTGTCGTCTTTAAGCCTTCTCACAATTCAGTGGGTTTCCTGGCTCCGTGCAGCCTGTGCAATTTGTGCTTTCCAGCCCTGTGGAACCAATACTAGGTCTCCTATACTCAAACTGAGACTTGGAGTAGGTACAGTTACATACCTTTGAATATATGAGTAATACAGGGATTGGATTTTCAATTAATTGTAATAATGGGAAGAGGGAAGAATAATCCTAGGCTACTTTAGTAGGCACTTTCTGGTTTAAGCTGAAAGGTTTTCCAGGAGAGCAATTTTCACTATCTTCAAATAACTGTTTTGAAACAGAACAGGAATTGTTCTTACCTTCTTGATTTTTTAATGCATTTTTGTTCTTGAAAGCCAGTACCAAAGGCTGTTGTATACTGCAGGAGACACCATGCAGCACCAATTAATAATGGCCTCCTCCAGCCCTTCACTTAATTCCATACTCACAGTAATATGATAAAGGGATCTTTTTCATCATAGCGCAGATGTAGGAACATATTGGAACACTCCATCACGCAAACCTGCAATTTGCGCTGTTAAACTGCTAAGGGGAAGGTGTCACTTAATATAGTGACAGTTCCTAGACCAAGGCACTCCCATCTCTCAAAATGCTAGTCAAAGGAGTTTTCTTTTTTTCTAGGTAGAGCAATGCTTGAAGCGCCTGTGGAAAATGAACTTGGTGGGCTACATTGAAACTCTGGCAGGACTGATTCCCAAGTAAGTGTCATGATCCCATATGTTATATGGGATATATCCATTAACTTAGTCTGCAGAGCTAAAGAGAGGGGAATACTAGATCATAACCATCTCCTCATCCTTGTATCAACACAGGACAAATACATCCCAAGCCCACACAGAATGCTTAGTTCCCAGCCAGCCTATGCTGGAAACGGTGGCTCTGAAGGTATTGGGTGGTTGCAAGCTCATACTACGTCTACTGGACTGTTGCTGTAAAGCTTTTCTGTATCCTTTTTTCACCGTGAAAACATTCTTACAGTTCATCAACCACACCTCATGAGACCAAAACCGGGTCTGCTGTAGGCTCTGTGTTGCTGATGGACTCAACTGTGCAATTCATACATGCAACTTAAAGTTCCTTTGATAGCCAGACATCTTATTTTTAAGTTATTATGTAGGAACCTCAGGCTGTTGGCTGGCTGCTGTTCCAGCCTTGAGCAACCCAAAGTTTGGATACTCATCTCCCAAATTATCCAGGATATTGCCTTGTGAATTGCCTCTAGTTGGTGTGTTCAGCAAGTCTCATTACATGCTGTTTATTTTTTATCCTTAACTGGTGTAATCTTCAGCTTGTCCGTTAAGCATCTCTGCTCAGAGGAATTCATACTTTTGAACACTGTGGCTTCGGGGTTGCTGAGCCGACTATGGTTTGTATATTCAAAACTCTGTCTTGTCTGTCTGTCTGACATGCCTGTCAGGGAGAAGGGCTTCTAATTAGGCCTTGCTGCTGAGTGAGCTTTATTCACTTGGGAGGAGGAGGCAGGGGGTGGTCCCACCATCCTTTTGGAATTGATTCTAGCACCTGAAGAGTTGTGCAAGTTGAGAGAGACTTATTACATGCTGTTTTGGAAGGCTTTGTTCTTGGTTCACAGCAAACTTTATGTAGCACTAATAAAATCACAGTGTTACTACCAGCCTGCCACAAACACTGACATCTGGTACTCTTTTCCCCAAGCAGTAAGTCCTGCCTCACGCTGGAAGGGAAAGGCTGGGATAAAGTTGTTCTAGAGCAGTGCAGAATTTTCCAGGGAAATCACTCTTCCAGTTTCCTCAGTACAGCGGAGCAATGCTGAGTAACTGCTGTCTGTAGCTGAAGGAGGGACAGCATTGTGTAGAACTCGGCAAAATGTTCTTTGGCGCAAGGGATCTGTCTCCCCAGTAAATGTAGAGCAGGCAGTTGTGCAGCAGCAATGTTAGCACCATTGTCCTGAGTTGGTACAGTTGCTTTTGAGGGAAGACCTCTTGTCAAATGATTTGGATGCGACCTGTGAACATGCTGAGTCCCAGGTGTGGCACTCCACAAAGCTCTAGGGAAGCAGAGGGGCTCCTGATCAGGGATTTACTAGTCAAGTCACTCCTACGCTCTGATCTTGAACAGTTCCTTAAAGGTCAGACTAATGTTAAGGAAAGCATGGTGATGGAGATAAGCTTGTACTGAGGGGGAATAGGGAATGGGCAGCTTGGAATCTCATCCATCAGCTCTTCCACTTGAGCTGAAGGTAGTTGTTCAGTGGGAACAAGGTTTTGCTGTGGGTGACTCGATACCTTTCTGTCTTCTCTCTGCAGGGTTCAGTACAGGCATGTATTGCAGAGCCTCATTTCCCTCTATGGCGTGTTGTCGACATCACTTCATCTGGTATCTGAGACCCAACAGATGCCTTATATCAAGGGGTTTACCTTCCCTTCTGATATCAATAACTTCCTTGGAGTTAATGTTTCTTCTGAGATGAAGAAGCAAAAGGCTAGAATGCTTACCACAAAAAAACCTACCAGCTGGCTGAAAAAGCTCTTCCCAACAATACCAGAGGCTGTGTCAAAGGTGGGGAAAAAGAGTTTTGAGACCTGTGTGAGTGCTGTGAAAAACCACAGCATCCCATGCCCTGTGGACGTCGGAGAGCCGGTTCTGGTGACCAGAGCCAGCAGAGGTAAAACCTTGTGCCACAATTCTACGGGTTTCTGACATCTCAGAGACTGACTGCAGCTTCTGTCCAACAGAACCAAGCACTTCTACTACCCACAGAGTGTAGTTCTAGTACAAACTCCCCTCTCCTGGCCTTGGAAGAGGAGGTGAACACTGCCTGTACCCTTGCCTTTTTGAAGCTGTGGTTAATGTCAGTATTGTGAGGCATTTTGGTTTTTTAAACATAATATACAAGCTGAAGAGAAGCAGGTAACGAATGCACGATACAAGTCCTGTAAAGAGTCGTTTGTATTTCCCTGCCTCTGTATAGATGGGGCCCGAGGACAGGGAGGGAAGCCAAGAGCCCTGTCTGCAGTCTGGCCGAGTGTAGATAAGCTTGTAAGTACAGGATGCAGGTATCCTGTGCCCAAGTCTTCCCCTACAGGCAGTGCTATGGCCAGTGACTCAGGCATCCAGGTGTTTGCATGAAGCTTTTACCTGTTAAGTTCTCCTTTGCAGCCGTCTGTGAGTGTCTGCAGCCTCCTCATCCCTTGCCAGCTGCCATGTGGGTCAATGTAGCCCCTGTGAGTTTGCCTGGAAATGCTGATTATGGGTGTGAACCTGCTGAGATGGCAGGAGATCTGAGAGCTTGGCAGGGCAAAGTATTGTGGTGTCTCTGTGCAAAGACTTTAAATTGCCTTTACTTCATAATAGAAACTCTCCTCTCTCTTTGTAGGGAAGCACCTGGGGTTTGATGTGAAGAGCTTACTTAGAACATCCAGACCTCTAGCACAACAGGTTTGTGTGGCACCATTTTATACGTTGGGTTTTTTTTAAAGACTTATCACTCAAAACATGATATCCCTGATTGAAAATGTCCCCTCTCCCTGCCTTATTTTTGCTTGTCTAACAACCCAAGTTCGTGTGGAAGCTTTACACTGAAAATCTCTATTAATTTCTGCTTATGAATTTGAGCATTTGTTGGTATGTCAAGTGAAATGACCAGAGAGCAAGTCATTCGTACACAGGAATACAAATTCTCATCATCTGCTGCCTCTTTGTGTATTGCACAAAACAAGACTGTGCTTCCACTTTCTTGTTAGGAAATAAGGAACGTTCTCACAAAACCCTCAATGCTCTGCTCCTCTGCAGCAGAGAGGATCGGGCATGTCATGTTTTTTAAAGACTGTTTCTGTTATTCTTTGTTCCAGGGTATAAGCATTGCATCAACACCTGTTAAAGCAAAATCAGCATCCCTCATACAGATGATCCAAACAGCTACATCATTTGGGGAACTGTCAGAGGCACTCAGAAAAGCTATTCTGTGGTGCAAAAGCAACAAATTCAAATCAGAAGCTTATTTTCTGCGTAACAAATTGTTGAAAAGCAATCGACTGCACCATGTGGAGGCTCAAGGCTGCAGGTAATTTTGCAGGGGTGTGGGGGTTTCTGGATCTGACACTCTGCATTTTAATTACGTATTTTGCTAGTGTGGAGAAATGCGGTGGTCTAACCCATTCTTTTTAAATTCAAAAGGGATCACTAGTTCAGGTCACTGGATGCTCTGACATGAACATTCTCTTTAGCTTCAGTCATTTGTGACAGGATTTAAAAGGCTAACAAATGCACAAAGACTTAAGGAGGATGAAAACACAGCTTAAGTCGTGTGCATGTTTAATGGTAGTGATTATATGATGCAAGGGGTGTTGTCTTTCTTCAGAATGCCCTGGCTACTGTTGTACCAAGTGCTGTAGTACCTCCTTGGTATGACAAGGAAAATGGTAGAGAAGGCTAATAACCAAATCTCTCCAAACCCTAAATGAAATAACACTTTAGCAGTTGATAAAGTTACATTTTGTGCACCTTCCTCCCCTGAAGCTTGAAGAAAAAATTGTGCTGTGTCAAAACATCTGTCCGTAAATACCTGCTGTGCGGGTCACAAAATGCACGCTGGCCAAAGCAGTACCTCGGGGCACGGTTCTGGCGGAGGAGGATCAAGTCATCCACGCGCTTGAAAAGAACTCTGAAGACTGTTCGGCAAAAACCTTGTGAGCTTCCTGGAGCCTGTGAGCAGAGTGCCTCGCTCATTGTCCCAGCTCACCAGGACGGGCCGCTGAGTCAGGAAGGACGTGCCAATGCTGGTACAGCCTGTGTCAAACTAAGCACAGCAGGCACCCCGAAGCAGCTGCTGCTGGAAGGAAGCCCCGGCCAGAGAGAAGCTACTGAGAACATGGATATTGATTCTATTTTTGCCGCAATGGGTGTCTGACCTGGACTTGCAAAGAGGAAAGAGGTCAAGTAATGCCAATTATTTTTCCTTAAGTAAAACCTTCAAAAACATAATTGTTTCATGTTAACTCACACCCTGAGTTCTGCTACGAAAATAGCAACTATTTTATTGTATTTTTTGTAAAACAGCTTTTTTTAAAAAAAAAAAAAAATTATGGAAGGGTGTTCCAAACATCTAAATAGTCTTAATCCTTTCACTTATCCTTGTCCAGGGACAGTGACTTTGAGTTGCCCTTCCCCTGTGTCCCTTCTCTATTGCTGGACCACATGTTAAGTGCTGCTGTCACATCTACAGTGCAAATAGTTACCATCCATGGTGGAAGGCTGCAGCTGGACTTGCTGATGCTTTTCCAAGGAAGTAGTCTTACTCCATTCCATCTGTGCTGCCTCTATCGGGGACAGCCTTGACTTGCAGTGTTACCACTGTTCAGTATTTGTTATTCTTGTCCTGAAACAGGGATTTAACTGACCCTACTTCCTCTGACCTGCTCCAGAAAGAGGGGAAGGTACAGCTGTGGCCTGCAGCAGTAAACTCCTGACTGCTGAACATGTTACTCGCTGTCCTGAAATCTTTTTAACATAAGGGCAATTTCTGCCTGCTCGGCAGTGTAAGGTGCAGCTACTCCAGTGTGTATTAATGAAATAATGTTAGAACAAGCCATGTGGTTTGTGCTTTCTGACAGGCTCTTGCTTGTAACTGAGTCCCAAGATCAGGACCACCAGGAAATACTAAAAAAAAAAATGTCTCAGAAGGAAGAACAGGAATCTGCTTTATTGCAGAGCACCTGTCTAATGGGTAAAGAAAGGCTGTAAGTGCAAGTAAATCTGGAATAGGCTAACTTCAATTTCCTAGGCTTAATATTGGTAGAAAAAAAGAGCTGTGCCCACTGGGATAGAAGGAAAAATAACCTTCCTAGCAAATTAAGCGCTAAAAAAAAATCTGTATTATGCACCTTGTGTGAATTAATCAGTGTAAGTTTAGTTATGAGGAGTGAGCACAAACTGAAAATGTTTTATTCAAAAAGCATATACAGAGCACAGAGCAGAACTTCTATAGTAGTTTAGCCTTGAAGACTTCGTCCAGTTAAACAAGATCCATTTTCTAGGTTTCCTGTCATGGGAGTACCTCGTGATAACCAAAATAGTTGTAGGGAATCACCCATCATTAGCGCTCTGGATATCTGATTCAACATCATGTTACTTCAGACAGACTTCCTGCCATGACAGGAATCTTTAGAGCTCTCTTCTCATGTCATAAAATGGTATGAATATACCTATAGCACGTACAATCAGGTAACATTCAGCTGCTTGAATACTTCCCAGAACAGGCTGGGAGTGAGGGCAGACATCCCAGCAGTGACCTCCATCCGGAATAACCCTCCAGACAACACACATGACGTTCTTTCCTTTGGGGGGGCAGGTGCCCAACTACTGTCCCACTGCAGCCTGCGCACAGAATCAGGATCCGTAGTTTGCTTCGTCAAAGGCCTTTCTGGCACGTTTCAGTTCTTCATTCATAGTTAGGAGGTCCTTAACTCTGGCAAACTTCCGGGGGTCCTTGCGGATGAGAAAGACAATGTCCTCAACCTGCACGCGACCCTGCCGCCCAATCGACATGGCCTTGTGTGTCTGTTAGAGGAAAAGAGGAAAGTCAGCAGGGTTCCTTTGCCCCTTAACTTTTTTTTTTTAAGCTCCCAATTCCACCTTTATTTTCCTGTCATTTTGTAATCAAAAAGTAAGCGATTGCAGGATCTGGGCACCATCATCCACGTCACAAGAGAACTTCCCAGTAAACCATGGACTTACTGTCACGCTGCTGTCCCCAGCTGCCAGTCGCTTATACCCAGCACCTACCACTATATACACCCAACAGTAATGACATCAAACGAAAGCCAAATTACATGTATGACCCCTGGCCTATGGAGTGCTTCAAAGTGGACAGCATCAGGCAGAACTTGGAAGGAGTGTGAATTACCCGTATCACAGGACAGTTTAGGGTAGTTTGATGAGGGAAGGCAAGGCCAACCTTTCAAAAGAAAGGGGATTCACAAACAGTAGGAATAACTTCAAAAAAAACCAACAAAAAACCAACAAACCACCCAAAAAAAACCCCCACCAAAACCAAAAACTTTCAAACAGGATCCAAATGTCTGGAAGAGTGATGGCTTCAGATCTCAGAAGCTTGCATTTCTTTTGTAGGGCAGAGTTACATTCCCATCCATGTAAAGACAAAATGTTGGGAGAGCACAAGAAGTTGCTGAACTTTCAAAGCTGAGCCTTGTCTTTTATCAGCTGTACAGATAGTGATGCCGCAGTGAACCTCAAAGTCAGCTGTGTATTTCCTCCCCACCAATACCAATCTCACTGCTACCCAAGGACTTCAGACACTGTTCTAAATGCATGAATTTAGCTTTTTCCTGCTAGCATCAGGGTTTTTGGCCTGGGATAATGCAGTATTTGAGTCAGAGGTATTAACCTTCAGAAGACTAAAGTCTTGGTGAAGATGTTTTGACCACGCTATCTAGAACCAACTTACCATTTCTGTGATAAACTCTATCACCAGGTCCTCAAGAATGTCCACTGATTCTGTGTAAGGGTTCTGGTCATCTCCGAATCCATACATCATGCATCTTACTGCAGAAGGAAACACTCAGTGTGAGGCTTCTTCCATCCATTCAGCACTGTCAGCAACACATCTAGTCAGAGCTCACCAGCCCACACGCTCCTGCGCTAGGATGGCACTTTGTTGGGCAGGACATTCTTGAACAAACATACAGGACATAAGCAGGCAGACAGAGGCCAAGAAGAGCCTAGTGCTGTACCTAGAGAAAAGCACGTCTGATGACACTCTTTAAACATGCATTTAGCCTGCCAAGGGCTGAACCCTGAATGGCAGTGTCAATTTCATACAATTGTTCAGGTTGGAGAAGACCTTTAAGGTCACTGAGTCCACCTGACTGACAGCATGACTGGCTTTTCATAGAATCCTTTAGGTTGGAGAAGACCTTTGAAGTTATTGAGTTAACTGTAAACCTAACGCTTTCCAAGTCCACCTCTAAGCCTTTTGGCACAGTTGGGTTCAGATGATGCATTATGAGTATTTTGGGGGGTCTACCCGACAGTTTTCTGCACTGCCAGCCAGGGCACAGAATGAAGGCCACTGTTTTACTGTGGAAAAGTTGGGGTTTGGGACTCCGCAGCTGCCTCCTCAGCTGTGTCTGGGGAAGGGCCTCGTCCTTAAAAGCTGCGTGACCATCGGTGCCGGGCGGGGGTTTCTGTCGCGGCTCGACTCACGTTCTTTGGAGAACAGCCTCTTCCTCC